TTAGAAGGGACCTTGGAGGTCATCTAGTCCAACCCCCTGCTCAAGCAGGTGACCCTATACCATTTCTGACAAATGGCTGTCTAGTCTCTTCTCAAAAGCCTCCAGTGTTGGAGCACCCATAACTTTTGAAGGCAAGCTAGTTGATTATTCTCACTGTCAGAACATTTCTTCTTATTTCTAGGTTGAATCTCTCCTTGATCAGTTTCCATCCATTGTTCCCTGCCTGGCCTTTGGATGCTTTGGAAAATAGCTTGACTCCCTTTTCTTTGGGGCAGCCCCTGAGATACTGGAAGACTGCTATCATGTCACTTCTGGTCCTTCTCTTCAATAGACTAGCCATGCCCAGTTCCTCCAACCGTTCTTCCTATGTTTTAGCCTCCAGTCCCCTGATCATCTTTGTTGCTCTTCTCTGCACTCTTTCCAGAGTCTTTTTTATAGTGTGGTGACTAAAACTGGATGTAGCACACTATAAAATAGATTTAACACACGTAAAATGCCTATCCCTTACAACAGCAACGGTAACTACAATTACACCATGAGTGGTTGAGAAACAGATCCTTGGGACATTTAAAGAAAGAAAAGTTAAACTTGCAGGTAGATCTCACACATGTCAGGTGCTCCATTATTCCAAAAATGAACCACTGATGCAGACAGTGCCAGCAATGTTTTGTGCATAGCCATTCCGCCTCCCCCCCCCCCGAAAAAAATAACCCTGGACATCCTTCTCCTCCATAAATCCTTCTGCCTGTTGCCCAAAATGCCCCCTGTCTGCTATGTCGTCATGCAGCCTATTCTAAATCCATCAGCCAGACAGATTGGCGTTTCCACAGCAACAAGCCCGGGGCAACAGCCACCCAGCTGTCAATCATTCCAGCCGCCACGAAGTCAGCGGGCCAAAGTTCCAGCGCTGCCCCCAGAGCGGCATGGTCGCCAAGCCCCTTCCCCAGCAACCGGCTTGGCCAGTTGGCACGGCCATCCGTAGGTCAACCTCTCTCTCTCTCTCCCCCCCCTCCCCACACAACAGGTAGCCCAGGAGTGGGTCTAGCCAAAGTGCCTTCCTGTGGGGGTTGTGTTATGTAGCTGTGTGTGAATGAGAAGCCAAGAGGATGCTCTTGACGTCAATGGGCACACTTCGGCATCTGGTGCGAGACGAGGGGAATGCATGCAGAGGAGTTATGTAAACCGAGTCTGTCTCATTGCTATGGAGTTTCTAACATTGCTGCCAGCAGCACCAAGGAAGGGAAGGTGGAAGATAAGCAGGGTCAGGAGGGCTCCAGGCGTGTTATGCCGATAGGTTGATGGGAGAAGAGCCAGCAGGAATCACAACGTCTACGCTTCAGGGCTACGGGAAGAAGAGCGTCTGAGTTAACTTGGTTCCTGAATAAATTCCTCTCTTGGGGTTGCCCCATCCAGTAAATCATCATCTAACCAAATGAGCTGGGCTGACACACTATGCTAAAAAGCCTAACCAAGGTTAGCACTCCCCAAGCAGACCACGTGGGGGAAAAGCAGCCACTACCTCATTTTAACTGTATTTAATTAACACCATTTTCATTTAAGCTTAAATTTAAAATTCAATCAAGTTACATTTTAATTTAAATGGGCCAATCCCCCTGCCCGCCGTTGAAAAACCGTGTTTTTCAGACAGAATGAAAGTGTTAAGACCAGGACAAACCAGAACAGAGATTCTGGGGCTGCGGATCACAAACCATGTGGAGTGAAACAAGGTGCGACAAGAGTTTAGCTGGGCATATGCAACGTATTAAAATAAGCTAAAACGTTTGGGTAGGTTGTTGTTTAGCATGTTGCCCTGCTGTCACGTTAAGCCAAAATACTGTGTGTGGGTGTGGGGGGGGGGGTGTTTGGTCTGGATCCTGCATTTTATTTATTTTTATTTATTCAGTTTGGAGACCACCCAATTTCCAAAAGACTTTGAGCAGCAGAAAAAAATGAAAACCAAACAATTTAAAAAATTGCATTCAGGAGACTGCAGCCACTAAATGTACCCCAAACCAGCAAAAATAAACACAAGGCTCAACATCCCAGTCTAGGGTGGGAGCTACACCAATGCAAATTACATAAATACAACATTTGGGGTCCAAATTTAGAATGCTATATGAACCAAATCATGATTTACATAGTGTGCTAAGTCATCATGAGTTACTTGATTTACTTCCATGACATTGGCCATCATTATTTGTTTATTTAACAAACTTATATGGCTGCCCTTTTCACCGAGTTTGATTCTGGGAGGTGTACAACCAACAATTAAAACAATGACGCAACTGTTAAAGCAACTTTTTAAAAATAAGTAAAAGCAAGATGGCGGGAGAAGAGCGTCCATCGAATCTTAGATCCTCATATGTAAACGACGGTTTCTAGACTACGTTTCTGCCTAGAAATCTGATCAACTGGGCTTTTTCTACAAATAAAAATCATGCAGTCTGTGAATCTTATCATCCACTGCGACGTGGGTTTTTTTTTTTTCCTGACTTCAATCTTTCAAGGAGCTCTTGTAAAGGAGCTCTTTAATAAATGATGGGGGGCTCCAGCAAATGAGAAAAAAACTGGGTCCAGATTTGTAGGGAGCAAGTCCGCTGGGTACTCCTCATATCAGCTGAGTGATGCTCAGAGACATGGCAGGCAGCAAGGATGTCCTCAGGCATTCTGAATAGCCAGGCTTCCTGACCATGGTAATTTCCCACAATACTCTGGAGACACACTATACCAAAGGCATTGTGGGAAATTAAAAATAGTGGCTAGACCCAGAGGCCTGAGACCCTGAGGCACTGGCTTAAAGCTGACCTTGTTTTCTCCAGGACCAACACTTTTCTGCCTCAATTTAGGACCCCCAAACAGATTTCACATATTTTGAGGAAGGTTTGATGAAAAATAGGACACATCACTGTGAAAATCAAAGGTGAAAAGTGTAGAGTTACAAAGTCATAGACTGCATTCTTCTCTGTGCACACTCTTTCTAGAGTCTCGACATCTTTTTTATGTCGTGGTAACCAAAACTGGATGCAATAATACTCCATACACACACACAAACATACACACACACATCCCTTCTACGCAGCACTCGCAGTGTCCTTGAAAACCCTGTCCACAATATCGCATTTTTTGAACCACGCACTATTGCACTTTCCCACAATCCCCTGAAATGGTGCTAAGTCGGGGACACTTCGGGAAATGAAGATAAAAATTAGGTTGCGATGATCTCCAGACAAGGAATATCCTACAAGCAGCGTCTTTGTCACTCTTTCTTTCACCAGACTCGACTCTCAAAGGCTGAACATTCAAAGGCTGAATGTTCTTGGTGTGAGGTTGACAAAAGGTGGCGAAAATTGTTGAGGACTAGAACCTTGGAAGGAAAAGCATGGAAAGAGACACAAGAAAATCTTCGGGAAGTGGGGTTTTCAGGAACAGGAGAAGAGGAATAGACTTTGAGAGGTATTCTGACTCAGAGTCAGCGAGCGTGTGAGAGAGAGAGAGAGAGAGAGAGAGAGAGAGAGAGAGAGAGAGAGAGAGAGAGAGAGAGAGAGAGAGAGAGAGAGACGGCAGATTTGAAGCCAGCAAGCAGGCAACAGGTTTCGCAACACATTTTTCAGACCATTAAACCCAATTCAAAAGAAGTGAGCTGCAGTTGGACCAGCATCTGCCGTTCCATTTGAGGGATGGAAACTGAACTGGAGATTTTCTCTGCTGCCACTAGAAGCAAAGCAATGACGTCACCGTTTCCCTGCAACATCGGGAGCGTACCTGTCCTTCACTAGACCCATTCCCAGCACAGAGAAACTGGGCCTTTTTCCTCAGTTACAGAATGTGAACGGACGAGAGCTGGGAAAGGTAAGGAAATGGGGGCCGAGCTGCTTCCAATCCCAAGTCAGGGGTATGATTATTGCAACCTCTTTCTATTATGCAGCATCCTTTACAGTGTGCCAGGTGATATCCGGAAAAAGGAGGCTGTGAGTCTTTGCTTACAATTCAGCTGAGATAAATTAAAAAAAAACAAAAACAGAAGGGTAAACAGGACAATCTTTCAGTGGTTGGGTTCAGACAACATGTGGAGACTCTAGAAAGAGGGCAGAGAAGAGCAACAAAGATGATTAGTGGTCTGGAGGCTAAAACATATAAGGAACAGTTGCTGGAATTGGGTATGTCTGGTTTAATGAAGAGAAAGACAAGGGGGGACATGATATCAGTGCTCCAATATCTCAGGGGCTGCCCCAAAGAAGAGGGAGTCAAGCTATTCTCCAGAGCACCAGAAAGCAGGACAAGAAGCAATGGGTGGAAACTAATCAAGGAGAGAAGCAACCTAGAACTAAAGAGAAACTTCCTGACAATGAGAACAATTAACCAGTGGAACAACCTGCCTCCAGAAGCGGTGAATGCTCCAACACTGGAAGTCTTTAAGAAGAGACTGGACAGCCATTTGTCTGAAATGGTAAAGGATTTCCTGCCTGAGTGGGGGGTTGGACTAGATGACCTCCAAGGTCCCTTCCAACTTATTACTATTATTATTATTATTATTATTATTATTATTATTATTATTATTATTATTTTGGATCATCGCACAGTCAGCCAGATGTTCAGACTGGATTTGGCATTTTGTCTACCTATCGAGCCCTTACCCAGGGCCTGGGATAGGCAGATGTGGATGTTTGATGGTATTACAGATATCGTCGCAAGATGGAATAATAATAATAATAATACTATTATATTATTATTATTATTATTATTATTACATGGTGATCCCTGGTAACCTTAATTCAACAATTATCTCTTGATCAAACCATCGCTGGCACCCCAACAGAGAACAGCTGGTTGTGAGGATTGCTTGGCCCAGCGTGCCAAGATGAGGCTGGGCTCCCACAACATGCCAACCCACACACCCACCTACCCCTTTTGAGCAGCTCCGGCTAAGGGGGAACCTCTGCTCTCCCCTGTCTCTTTTCGATCCTGGAGCGTCGAGGGAGGGGGGAATCCGGGCTTCTTACCTTCACTGCAAAACTTGCCCTGGAAGCCGGTGAGGCGACAATCACACTGCACTTCGCTGTTGACCACCGTGCAGATCCCGCCATTGACGCAGGGGTTCTGCTTGGCGCACAGATACTCCATGTCGCTGCGGATGCCCTGGCTCCCCAGGAGGGCGGGGGGCATGTCTCCCACTTTGAGGTTTGCCACCATCCCGCGGAAGGGCATCTCGTACTTGACCGTGCTGAGCGTCAGGGCCGACAGGCGGACGTCCGGCGGGATGCCGCCCACAAAGAGATCGCTATCCACCGCCATGTCACGCCGCTTCGACTTAACTTCGGCCACCCGGGCTTCGCCGTCCACCACCAGCATGGTCTCCCGGGAGTTGCGGGTCAGGAGCACCATGTGCCAGCGGTCGTCATTGACGGGGGTCTCCAGGTGCAGGCTGGCCGGCTCCGCGCAGGAGATGGTGAAGCGCAGCCGGAAACGCCCCTCCAAGATCAAGAGTTCCAGGAAGTCACAGTTGCCCCCATCGTCCAGGTACAAGACTAGAGCGCGGGACACGTTGGTCTTGATGCTGAAGCTCAGCTCCCCGGAGGAACTGGCATCCCACCGGGCGTAGCGAGCCCACTGCCCCGGCGCCCCCCCAAACTCCAAGGCTGCTCCCCCGGCTCCGGGGCCCAGGACCAAGCCCACCAGCAATGCCAGAGGCACCAGCAAACAGACCGACTTCGCCATGGCAGGCCCACGGTCAAGCGGGGGGGCCCCTTGGGGACACCCTCAAATCCTCATGAGACGGGAGGAGAGCAAAACCCTGCAGGAGGAAGGTGGGTCCAAGGGCGGCTCCTTAGACGAAAGAGCCCGTGAGGCTGCGGAAGGAAGGGACGAGATTTCTTGCGTAGGAGAGGGCCACGGAAGTCCTTTGCATCGGTCCCCTTCCCAAGAGGGAAGGTGGCGCTCACAGACTGGCATACAGCATCTTCGTCCGCAGCCGGCCGGGCAAGCTGAGCCGAGTTTCACCCCCAAAAGAGAAGGCCGCTGCCTGCCACCAGCAACTCCTCAAGGTTCACTGGAGGGAAAGCCCTCCAGGTGCGCTCTGAGCTCAGCCTGGAATGCGCATCGTCAGACGCTCAGATCTGGAAAGAGAATGGAAAGGAAAGTAGATTGGTGAAAGGGAGGGAGAGAGAAAACTGGTCTATTATCTCCTCCGTTTTAATCAATTTCTTTATAATCAGCCTGGTCTTTGGAGGGGAGCAGACAGGAATGCCCTTCAGCCACAACTGTGGAGCTTCCAGCGTTAGTGCTCCAAAACTGAATCTAGGCCTGTGGTGGCGAACCTATGGCACGCGTGCCACAGGTGGCATGCAGAGCCCTCTCTGTGGGCACGCGCGCCATCGCCCCAGTCCTAGGCCTTCAGCTGGGTTTTATAAAACCTTTTTGCTTTAGGCCTCCGCCATGGGAAAAAAAAAAAAAAGGTTCAATCAATCAGTGAATTTCAACTTCTCGCGGGGAAAAAAGATCTTGCAAAGTTGGAATTGATTGATTGAACTTTTTAGTCCCACCCAGTCTGCCATTACCACTGCAGCCACGCCCACCCAATGGGCCACACCCACCCAATGTGCCATGCCCACCCAGCATCGAAGATACATAAGTGGGTTTTGGGTTGCAGTTTGGGCACTCGGTCTCTAAAAGGTTCGCCATCACTGATCTAGGCTCACAGTTCACCCAGATCCCCATTGCTAGAAAAGGATTTCCAGGAGCTGCTTCGCTACGAGTCCCATCCTGCTGGCTGACTCTGGCAAGACTCGCTGCCCAAAGCGTGTGGATGAGGCCGGAGAAGGACAAATTGGAGGAGTTGATGTCCTCTTCCCTGGTTTTGTACAAATATTTATTTTTATATAGAGAACAGCCCCAGTTTAAAAGTGAAAAGCGAACAGGGAACAAGGAACAATACAAAATTCCACAGCAAATATAGCCAGATTCTCCAGCTGACAGAAAGCCTTTATTCTCACATGCTTAATCTGGTTAGCTGTGGAATTTTATTTATTTTATTTTATTTAGAAAATTTATATTGCTGCCTATTTGCAGGTAATTAATACGGGTAGTCTTTTTTACAACCATTCATTTAGTGACTGCTTGAAGTTGTGATGGTGCTGAAAAAAGTGATTTATGACAGAGGTGTCAAGCTGCCAGCCTGCAGGCCAGATGCGTCATGGCGAAACTGCGCCCACCCCATTGCCAGCAACGGGAAAAAAGTTGTGATACGTCGCAACACGTCACATGACGTTGCAAGTTTGACACCCGACTTATGACCAATCCTCACGCTTATGACTGTGGCAGTAACCCTGCAGTCACATGTTCCCGACTCGGGCATTTGGCAGCTGACTTGCATTTACAACGGTCACAGCGTCCTAGGGTCAAATGATTGCCACTTGTGACCTTCCCAGCTGGCTTCCAACAAGTCAAGAGGAGGAGCCAAATTTGTTTAACGCCAGTGATTCACTTAATGACTAAGCAAAAAAGGGTGGTAAAATTGGCCATGACTCGCTTGACTGCATCACTTAGTGACCAAAGTTCCAGTCCCAGTTGTGATCGTAAGTCGAGGGCTACCTGTATTTGCGCTAACACAACCTAATGTAATAAGTTAACTCCTGTTACCTTTTTTTTCTGGTTTCATTTCCTAGACCAGACCATTTGGTAAACATCTGACTCACTGTATTGTGTAAATACAGAAAAATGGAATTATTCAGTACCCAAGCAAGGTCTGTCGTATGAAAGTAGTTATTCAACTGTTTTTTCAGAGTGAGAATGTGTGTATATTTTGTGTTTTGCTCATGGGGACCACTAGAACAGTGTTTCCCAAACTTGACAATTTTAAGGCATGTGGACTTCAACTCCCAGAATTCCACAGCTAGCAATGCTGGCTGTGGAATTCTGGGAGTTGAAGTCCACATGCCTTAAAATTGTCAAGTTTGGGAAACACTGCACTAGAACACATCGTCTCTTCTAGCTTTGGCGATCGTAACAAGTATAGCCCATTTCGTGAAAAGAGGGTTTCTTCAGCCATGAGGACTAGAAACATTGATTTCCAAATTAAAATGTGGTTCTCCCTCCCTCCCTCCCACCCACCCCCAACCCCACCATCAGGAATCCACCTCCCTGAGTTTGGGAGAAGGAACTGGCCACCTTCTCCCCCATTGCCAGCTTCCATCCTCCCGCCCCCATCTGAGCAGGATCGGGGCCTTCCGGTGCCATTCCCCGTGCTAATGCAATGCAAATTTCATCCCCATCAAATTGCTTTTTTGGAATGATTACCCTTGTAACTGACTGTCAAAGATGCAATTTATTTCCAGCCCTCCCCTCAACAACGCCTGCTGCTCAGGAAGGGGTGAGCACGGCTTTGCATCTTGTTATTTTCTAAGAGCCTGATTATTTATAGCAAGGGAGTGGGAACAGAGCAGGAGCAAAGGCACTGGGGAGGGAGGGGTAGATAAGGTACCCCAGCTTACACCTCCCAAAGCACCCCCTCCATTTTGTGCCCCCTCGTTGACAGAGGGGGGGGTGAGGATTCCTCTCTTGCTCTCCAGTGCCACTGTCAGCCACCTGTCAGCACTTGCTCCACTTAACCGGGAGCTGGCGTTTTAATTCCCATCATCCACTACCACATCAATAGGAGTAGATAATATGCTTTTTTTTCTAGACGTTAATAGGGCTCTTCAGCTGCTTAGAGCCAATTATTTTCATTAGAAAGGAAGGGGAGGGAGAAACTGGGTTTTTTTTTTTTTTATTCCCAGGGACTAGAAGCATAGCATAGCTGGTTGCAAAAAGCAGTTGCAAAGGAAGAGAGGGAAAGAGCAAAGCCACTCTAAAAAAAACCCTCCAAAAGCGGTTTCTCCGATTTGAGCATCCTTGAGTTGCATCGGGGTTACAGGGCCACTCATCCAGAGCTATGATGGGTAGAGATGATGGTGTTTGTAGTTGCTGCACTATGCCCCCCTGGGCTCCCCCTTTAAAGATTGCGAGGGGGGTCAGTTTCCATGGCAATGGTGAGCGATACGGCATCATGCAAATGATCTGCACCAAGGGGTTATTTATAAATCCTTGTCTGTTGCAGCTCATTGGTTAATGAGCCTAATTAACATTCGGCTTCTAATTAGCCAATCAAATTAAAACCCACACCTGCAAAGTCTGAATTGAAGTCTGAGTTAGCTGCAACCCAATCCTCCCCCTCCCTGACCACGTACGCAAAATAGGTTTGAAAGGCTGCAGAGGATCCAGACCTCCCCCTCCACATTTAAAAATATATACATTTCCCCCCCCCCTTCTCTATCCCAGTCAAAGTTTAAACTCCCTGACTGAGTGCACACAACACACATCATCAAACTAGGTTTTAAGCGTGTTATCCAAACTCAGGCCCCTGGATAAGTTTACAGTTCTGACCTCTTTGGCAAGCCCCAAATTGGTCAGTTCGTCACGGGTTGTTCATTTGGGAGCCAGCCTCTACTCAATGCTCCAAAACTCACATGGAGGCATCTCCTGCAGCTCGCAAATGCGCCTTCCTCAAAAGCAAACTGCATTCATATCATGATCAACATGATTATTACCATCACCAGCCTTGTCATTGTGTTATTGTCATCAGTCCTCGTGCAGCAGGGATGGGGCACCTTACAAATGCCTTCCTCAAACATCCTTCAAATCAGACAAAAGCCCCTGCCAAAATACTGTAAATGTTTAATTTCAGCAACAATGCATCAAAACTAGAAAAGCGATTCCTAGAGACAAAAGCACACACAGCTTCTACCACGGCTGCCCCACCCTGGCTGGGAAAAACTATTCATCTGAAGTTTAATAAAGACCAAAATTGTATTTAGTTGATCCACTGATACCAGTCCAGATTAGTCCAGAGTGGTTTCCATACTCCTACACCCTATGGTACTGCTCACAACAACCCTATAGAGGAGATCAGGTTGAAAGACTGAAAGCTTATCTAGTGTGGATTTCTGGCAACATGTGAACCTCAACAATCCACTAAATTAAAATTCATCAAGCATTCTAAAAAAGATTTTTTTTTAACCCAGAGTTAATCCCTCAGTCGATGTGGATTGCTCAGGGAAGGCCCAATAGTCAGGGATGATGGGATTTGTTACTTCAAAAAATCTAGAGGCTTCAGGAAGGCCTAAGTATTAAGAAAACTTCTCGAAGTCCCACTTTGAGAAAAGATGGCCATCTTATTAAGCCGGCATCTGGCTTGTTTATTTGGGCATCACAAGTTAACTAGGCCAGTGGTTCTCCATCTGTGGTCCGAAGACCCCTGAGGGGCTGTGATGTTGTCACAACGGGTCTGTGAAAGCTTGAAGAAATGTTATGATTTCAATCTTGAGTTAAGCCTTGAGGTCCGTGGCCACAAAAGGTATTTAAAGGGGGTCCGTGGTGAAGAAAAAGTTGAGAACCACTGACCTAGACCAAGAAGCTCTGGTTCATGAACCCAGGTTGGGTGCATTTTGAGAACAGGTTTATGTGGTTAAATGTCTATGGAGATTCTCAGTCATCCAGGGTCACCTGCATAGTGCAAATGGCTGTGGAGCCTTCTTGGACCTGCAGAAAGTCCTGTTCGATCTCTCTCCAATCTACAACACAGTCCTTTCAGCAATTCCTAGAAGGCTCCCCACCCATTTGCACCACTCAGGTGACCCTGAGGGCACAGGTAAACCTCCAAGTGGCCTCAACAGCTCTCTAAAAGAAGGCAAATGACCAGCGGTCTGCAACCCTTCCATTCCCCACCATCCAGTCAGAGCTGAAGAAGCTTCTTGGAGGAGAAGTGAAACATCTTCAAAGAAAAACAAACAACTGGTCATCTGCCTTCTTTTAGAGAGCCGTTGAGGCCACTTGAAGGTTTGTCTGTGTCCTCAGGGTCATCTGAGTGGTGCAAATGGATGTGGGCTCTTATTGGAACTGCTGAAAGGACAGTGTTCCACACCCATTTGCACCACTCAGGTGACCCTGAGAACACAGGTAAACCTCCAAATGGCCTAAACGACCTTCTAAACCAGTGCTTCTCAACCTTTCTAATGCCGCGACCCCATAATACAGTTCCGCATGTTGTGGTGACCCCCAACCACTTATACATCACTGGGTG